ATAAAATAAAAAATGAACTTTTTTGTGTAAATTCACAAGAAAATGGCAAATTTCAATGGCAAGATATCCCATAGTAATTTATAGTTAAAATCAGTATTTTTAATAAGTATACGAATAGCTCACAAAGTCCAGGCAGCCTGGGGGTTCATATGGAGCACAGAGCTATTTGGAGAGGCCGTAGTTCGCCATTTATTCGGCTTTCCTCTCCCCCTGGATAAATATGTAAGTCCCATGTTATATCAATGAATAAATACAGCAATAACCGCACCCCACGTGGCGACTCATTCATATTCTGTTCTGTAGCTACGTTTTCTGCCTAATAGATATGTATTCCCAATATGCATATGCTTATAGTTAGTATGCTTTCAACGTACCATACTTCGAAACCCAAAACCAAACACGAATCGAAAGATTAAATGCCTCAATACGGCCAATTTCGCACTCGACCCAGCTGAAACAAGGGATTTTTGCAGCGAACGATGCGCTTTCTTCATATGCAACGAACCATTTAGCTGGACGACGTGAAAATGCAGGGTACAATGGATTAATGAGAAAATATTTGGAAGTTTCCACTCATTGTATTTAGCTGGACGACGTAAAAATGCAGGGTACAATGGATTAATGAGAAAATATTTGGAAGTTTCCACTCATTGTATATAACTACCGGTATATATGCTCATTGCTCCGCCAAAGCCTGACGTACTTACCCGCTAAAATGGCTGTTTAGTGCGGATTCCAGTTTCGCTAGGAAGCAGCTTGGCTTGGTTCGACTCTCAAAACAATTGAAGTAGCCTAGTTTGAAAGTGTTAACTTGTATATTTTACACTATGGTGCCTGAAGGTTGTAAAACAGTAAGTTTGAAGAAAGAAATACCGTTACCTAGGTTGTAAACTCTGGACTAGGCCTACTGGTGCTGTAGACTACCGGTAGATCTTCAGGTTTTGCCAGGTGAGTTAATTTATGCTACATCTGTCATTATTAATCAATTTTGTATTAATTGTATTGGCCTGTTAACTACAGCATTGCCGTAATAGATATACCATCTCTGCATTTAGACAATGAGCTATTGTAGGCATACCGTACCATATTCTGTTATTTTACTTTTAATTGCTTATGTTCAATCTTTGTTACCGGTATTCCATTTAAATGAGTTCTAAATCGAGGTAGTCTACACCAGTGGTCACCAAAGTGTGGGTCGCGACCCCAGGTGGGGTCACCGCAAATATTTATGGGGTCGCAGAGTGTACGGCGATGTTTTTTCTGTTATTATTTTATTGTGTGTGTGATGTCTTGGATAATACCAAATTGCCAGTAGACAAAAATATTACAGTTTATTATATGTAAAACTTCAGTATAACACAGTTTTAACTTTATACATTTCACACGAATAATAAGTAGGCTTACCACACGTCCCGCTTTAGGCGGGACACTCCCGCTTTTTAGCGTCTTGTCCCGCCGTCCCGACAAGTCAGCCAGAAGTCCCGCTTTGGCGTTCAGCCATCCAGAATAATACATGGACGGTGACCGTACATTTGCACCCACGTACATTTGAACCCATACATTTGCACCGGTATATCCGCGGATTCAATAATCTATATGTGGGTGCTAAAATCCATGGGTTAGGGTTAGTATGAGTTCAAATATCCGTAAAAAAAAATTCCATAGGTGCAATAGCCAATAGTATGCAGATGCGGGTGCAAATGTAATGGAACCTACACAAACATGTTCTGTGTAGCGCAACGCTAGCCTACTTACTGAAGGTGAATGTGTTATTTTGTTTGTTTCGTTGTTCCCGCTAACATTGTTAGCGAACGTATCACATGTAAAATCAATTCTAATTAGTCCTGTTCGGACGTTCACGTAAATGTAACATTGAACAACGTCTTTTGAAGGTGTTATCTACAGAAAAGCATGCTTGGGCGAATAAGTAAATTCTCAATGCTTGAAAACGGCAGACTATTTCATTATTCTTTATTCCTTTTATTGTATGAAAAATCTAAATTCGGATCATTTGCATCGTTAGCGTCTATTCCTTTCTATTTTTGACTGAGACCCGAGATTTGGACAAAGAATATGTGCATGAACTCTCGATGACAATATGGTAAATGAAGCAACCGGGAGGGCTTTAAATGTAGGCCTATGTAGTAAAATCGGAAACTGTAAAGTTACAGGAGGCGTCCCGCTTTGTAATTATGACATGTTGATCACAAATGGGTGCGTGTGAAAAAGAATGAGCTGATACACAACAGTGTGCAGTCTACACTTCACTAGGCCGACTAGCGATATTCTGAACTAGAGTGATATCTCTGTAATAAGGCTATTGTGTAACGACAATAATATAAATTTTAAAGTAAAAAGTTGTTGTGTTTTCACTGTAATGGACTATGACCGTTGCTTTTGCTTTATTGTTTGCTAAGTTTCACAAATGACTGATAAACATAAAAGAATAGGTCATGTGATCAATCTTTTTCTAAAGCATGGTTGAACCGAAATAAAGTGCCAACCGAAATGCGCTGTTTGTCAAAAAGTTCTATCGATAAGAAGCTTAAGCTACATTATGCCACAATCTCAAAAGCTCTGCGAAGAAAAGCAATCGGTTAAATGTGTAATCAGTTTTTATTGGTTTTATTTTTTTCATTTCAATAAATATACTTTGGGGGCGCCAATGCTCATCATACGTCATAATTTTTTGAAATGGGGTCGCGTCTTGAAAAGTCTGAAGACCACTGGTCTACACCAATGCAGAGAGGTCTCTGATTTTTCGAATTTTCCAAAAGTAAAATTTTAGACAATTCTGATAATGTTAGTCTAATCCTTAAAAAGCAGAAAAGGATTTACAATAGCCTACTAGCAGACTGGTAAATTTGTAATTTCAGTTACTCTGCGATTTGAAATGACTGATTCGAGATTTGGACTAGACTAATCTAAAATCAAATGCATTTGGAAAGACATCTCTAGTGAAACTGCAAGATTAGCTACTGCAGTAGACAGTCATGAACTTTTTATGCCTAGGCCTATATCATTTTCATACATCTTCAATCTGCTGATTCTTTTCAGTTCGAAAGTGGAAAAACATATCCTGCCATTTTACCTCCGGGGCATTCGCATTTGGCCCTTATCAAGTCTGTCATTGTATCAACACTGCAAACGAATTTCTCGAAAGGTGAGGAACTGGTAGCATATTGGTGTTTCTTTTTTCGATGGCAATGGTATGGACATAACTGTTTAATAAATCAAAGCCTTGCTTATAAATATGAGCATCATATTACTGTATATAGCGAGCCTCCTTGCACTAAGTTGATTTTTGTGCAATGAATAGGCAAATAAATTCAAACATAGTTTTTTGTCTTTATATAACAATGTTCATTGTTTGGAAAGACAATGGTATAATTGCGAGCTTCAAAAAGGATCTATAATAAATTAAACTTCTTCTGAGCATTGAATATAATATGAATCTACCACTTTGCTAATGGAATCATTTTACCCCAGCAGATCAAGTTATAACATATGTAAATATGTTGACTTCTCACTCAACTACTTGTTTGCATTTTATACCAGCTATGCCATTTTTTTCTCAGCCGAATCGCCAAGATAAACAGCCAGTGAAATCAAAAAGTGCAAGAAAAAATGACAAGGGCCACTGCAATGTTGAACCTATTGGATGGTTTCCACCTATCTAAAGAGATGAAATGAACTATGTTGCTGGCGGAGACAATCACTTCTCGAGTGTATTTGATACTATTTCGTTGCTGATATTTGATTACATATTTTATTAAAAGTGATTTCTTTTCTATTGTATTTCATTTCTTCAGGTGGTGGCATGAGGGTTGATCGAGTTACTTTGCGAATGTTCTTTCGTTTTACAACTTCTTCTTGTAGTTAAGGTTAGCATCGCTATGGCTGTAAAAATCGGAGACATCCAACCCCCTGCATTTGCCCAGTACATACATTTGGTTGTAATATTACAACCGCTTGCAACGATCCAATACATGTGAAGTTGTATATGGTGTTCACAACGAAGTGCATGGCATCGCTGCTGCCGCGCGTTTGGTTGTAAATCGCCCTTAATATCTTTTACAGTATAATCACGCAAGTAATCTGGCGAAATGCATGGTAATCCAAACACTATGCAATGAAACCCTCATTAAATTTAGTAAATTGCGTTATACTTCACGAAAGCGGGGTAGAATTAACGATTATTTCATATCTCGAACACAAAAAGGGTTACCCTTTTTCGAATAGTTTCTGCGGTCTGAAAAGTCGAATAAGCGTTTCGATATAGTAAATCAGGGTGGTCCAAAGTTGTGAGGTTGGAAGGCCGCAAAAACTTTTTGAGAAGGTCTCGCGGGCCGCAGTCGAAGAAAACCCAAAAGTGATCAAAACATCGCGAGTATACTCACTTTAAATATATTTAAGAATGAGAGTTTATCGTCCTAATCAGTTTTTCAAGGAAACTATATAAAGCCTTTAGTTACTTTGAAATTGCTTCCGGATAAATATCGTGGTATTTTCGGTATCTTTTCTCGTGTTTGGTTTTGTAATGTCGCTTAAAATTATATTCTTTCGTGACGGATATATATTACTTGAAAACACATAAGACACTGTGGTTTAACGTTGTTGTGGGTAAGGAAATACGTTTTCTCTCAGTTTACTTCGGTCACCCTTTTTCTACACCCATTGATATGATGAATTGTTATATTTAAAAAAAAATTATTACTTGTAGCGTGAGCATGGCTATAGTGCTACCGTCAAAAACAACCAAGTCCGTCCAAGTTGGAACCTCAGACCCAGATAATAAAAAAAACTGGATCGCGCGCCGTCAAGTCAGCTCGGCGATTCGTCACTGCTGACCATCGCTTGAAAATGGAGGAATGTTTTGACTGAAATTTATTCAATCTATGGAAAAAATAGATCCTGTTTTAAATAAAATGCCAGCTCTCTGTAAACAATTACGTTCTCTTATCTCGTCCATTTTGTTTACATAGTATTGTAATATTTGTTCACATTGGTTTCGTTCTTTCACACTTTGCCGGTTTTGGATTTCTGCAGCCCAAACATTCAACTTTACGTTTTGCAGCTTTGCGCATTGAAAAAGAAATAAAAATAGTGATTATTGGTGTTTCACTAAAAAATGAATTGCAAAAAATCAAAAGACAAACATACTCGAAAAATCAGCGCACGAGTAACGGTAGTCATTTGCTGCTCTACTCCATCCACATAAGCGTAAGTCTGTCGAGCAGCTGGGTTTGCTGTGCGTTTGTAATAGTATAGGAGCTGAATCACATTTCTAAAATCAGAGAATTATATATTCATGAAATCCTAAAGTGGCCATTAACAATGTAGTAAATAGAACAATGTGGAATATTAAGAATGTTTTCATTTTGGCGTATTCACTCATCAATCTTATCCATGGGACACATTTCTCTATCCAATTCTTTTTCATAAATATGTATGCCATCCCAATTCCCAACCCATTCCCATGGTCAAGCCACTCGTGACTATAAGGAATCCCTCCCTCATCGACACTCTTAAAACATTCACGAATTTACCGCTTGTATTTGCGAACTTAATTATTTTTGTATAAAGGCGATCTAAAACTAGTTTTTATCTACCTCAATGAATTTTGCAGTTTTGAAAGATTGCGAAATATGTCTGGCTACGTATGAATTGACTAATAGTGTCGTGAAAAAAAAAATAAAAATTTGGTTGACACTGACAGCATAACGCCATAACGTATACTTGAATGTTACACTACGAACGCCTAATAATATTATTCTGTATAATTCAGAACATGTATCCTGCAATACAATATAAAAATATTAGGTATTTTGATTGATACGAATTTGTACAATATTGAAACTTCCATTTATATTTACCTCGTTCAAGTATTTAAAATAGCTTCCCCAAAGCTGCTTAACAGCGGTTGTCATTTTACTAAATTTGACATTTCTTTTTTGTCTTTTGAGTTGTTGAAGTAACTTCTCAGTCAATTCTTTCGAACATTTTATTCCAATCTGAGGATTGCACTGTAAATGAAAAAGGTGGGAATTCCCACCGACATATTTGGTTCACAAGGTTTTCTACTTTTTCCACCCCTTGGGTAAGCGTTTAACATTTCCACCCAACAAATCCCACCCCAATCGATGGGAAGATCAACCATCTTGCAAGCCTGGAAACCTACTGTAACCACCCTAAGATAGCATGAAACCACAACGGGTTTTTAAAATTCATACAATTTATTAAAACAGTAAATATTCAGCGAAATTGACTACTAAAGGTCACAAAAGAGACTAAATACAGTCGTAATGAGAAACTTGAGTTACGCTTTTTTTGTTTGTTGAATGGTAATTCGTCATTTGGTATAGATGCAGTAGGCATGTTGTGATAAATGTCAAGCTTTTCTTTTCTCTTCTCTTATTTGTAGATTGAAAATCCAGTAACAAGAGTCCATCACTGCCATTTCTTTTGTGTAATTAAAGCTTTCATTCGAAATGTGATCTATTGATAATTCAGAGTTCATCATTGGTGTGGTACTTACAATCTGAAAATACAAAAAAATGATTAGATGAGTGAGTCTTTTGCAGTAGAAAAAGGGTCACACGTTAACTTCGAACATATTCAATGAAAATGTTCTCAACTAAATTGGAGTCCGAGTACTGGACACGTAATTTATGATAGGTACCTCCAGGGCTAGGGAGCCGGAGCTGGAGTCGGAGCCGAGACATTTTGGTGGAGCCGGAGCCAAGTTTATCAAAACAGATGATGAGGATGGAGCTACCAAAAATTTTGGTGGCTCCAGGCTCCAGGCTTAACTATCTCATTTTTTTCAATTTTTTAATTTCTGATACGTTACAAATGATAAAAACTACCGTATACTTTTCAGCTTATAATTCATTTTATAAATTTTAGTTCCTTATATTAAGGTAATTTAAAAGTTATTCTGTATCATTATATGTTTGAAAGTTTGGTATCAAAATTCGAAACGGTTGCTTATTTTATCAAAATTTTGATTTTCATTTCCGCTAAGCTGCAATTTTTCATGATTGTGGTCAAGCTCAAAAACCCTAATGGCCAGGGGTGTATCCAGGATTTTCAAGAGGGGTTTTGAAATTTCCATGCAACATATTATGAGCTTTTCATGGCATAAAATATCCAATTCATTTCAAAAGTGTTTAATTCTGTTCAGAATAACTCGTGACTGAGTCGTTATGGGACAAACGAAAGGTTTTACTACTCCCAAATACACCACAGCAGTCTCTGGGCATAAGAATATGCGGCAAAGTGCCTGATTATATCTTGTTTTGATCCATATTTTTTTCGTATTCCTATTCACATTTCTACAATTATGAGTTGTCATGAATTCGCTCTATCGCAATGCTGCAACTCATTTTATTTTAATTATATCCCTGTTAGAAAAGAATTTATTGAATATATTTTCCATAAATTATGTCATATTATGTTCTGGATAAAAGTCTCATATGTTTCTTTCGTTATTTTTAAAATAAATAAAAATATACATCGCGAGCACGATTCAATTGTATTGAGATTTATTTCAGTGACGGTATGATTTCCAAATTTTTTGGGGTCAGCTCGTACTGCAAATCTGGCATAGCAACACTTTTATTATCATATTTGAAGTTGCCGCATTTGGGTATGCATCACGAGTGAAGGGCTATTGCCGAAATTATCACATGTGCTTTGCATTTTGTGACAATTGCCGATTTTTTTGGTCGCCATAAACATTACGCCGTAAACAGCTTTTATTTCAGTGCTTATTTTTCCCTGAATCACAAATTTTTCAGACATATGTTTTGTCTCTCACATCATACTGTGATAATACGAGTTAATATAGATAATCAACGGTGACGAAATGCTAAGATAAAAAAAGGATTGATTACGCAACCCAAATTTTCTTGAATAAAAAGTGGCATTATAAAGTACTAAAAATAAAACAGGAAACACCATTGTTTTATGAGAGCCCGTGACAGATTAAAAACGCTTTTTTGGACATTGCAGATCGCGAAATTTTGTGTCCTACAACTGCCGAGGGGACCTGATATATATGTACCAAACTAAATATAATGGACCAGTTCGTGTTAGTTACATTATTATATCCCTAGATTGCCCTGTTTTTTTTTAATCAGCTTTTCAGTCCAGAAAACTTGGATTGCATATTTATTCACTCTTGGTTGCCAATGATTAATGCTTTTATTTGGTCGAAAGTTGCCACGATCGCGAGTCATGTTCAACACAATTAAATTAAAATAGCAAGACAGTTGTCAGGGATTGAATATTATGTGGCAGGAAAAGTCGCTATTTTACCAAATGCGCGAACGCGGCGACCATTTCAGTGGTCGATTTTCCCGTTCGTTTTATTGGGGGGTTGTATGCAAAACCCATTTTTGTACGAACGTTGTCTTATTTGCTGGGCAGACTTATTCGCCGGGAAATACGATATATTATAACTCCCATTGAATTCACAAGTTAAGGGCAAGAACAAAAGAGGAATTAACATGACACCGACTTAAGGTGTTTACAGCCCGAATAACACGTCACACTTAAGAAAAAACAATCGGCAAAGTGCGTTATTGAGCTGCACCACTGATAATGGCTATGTAGCCAGCTCCGGCATAAAAAAAAATGAAGCTTGAGAGCAGGAGCCAAAGTTTGAATACACTGTGACTCCGGAGCCAGAGCCATCATGATTTCGAACCAGCTCCCCAGCCCTGGGTACCTCAATATATAAGTGGTGATCAACACAGACTAGCTCATTTTTTTGGTTCGTCTTCTTACCAAGGTCATATTGAATTGACGAATTTTCATAAACTAAGTTATATCCCAATCCACTAGGGCTAGACATAAACATCGGTTCTAACTCTTCATGATCTTGCAGCATAGAGTGATATTATACCTCTACAATATACAGTCAAAGATTTTAACAATGTATTTGCATCCAAATACAACACACTAGATTAACCCTGCTAAAACGCTTAAAAAAACATGTACCATTATTAGACTTGCATATATTAATTGTACAAAATAAAAAGACTCATCAGTTGCTCACTGCGCATCTGCTATCTTTCCCCCATTTCAGCATTTAGTTCCTCTGCCATCAGCTGCTTGTGATTCCCAATACTGTGATCATTCTTCATGTTCAAGAAAATCAACATTCTAAATAGAAAGTTATGTGCTGTAGGCTACTCCAATAATAACTCATAACAATATGTATGCTTGCTGTTGTGTACAGTAATTCCAAGTTTAGCACAAAAGAAAAATAAACTGTTCCCTGTCGACTCACCAAACCAAACACCACAGGCTAGTGTCATAAACAGATAAATAAGCCCAATAGCCTATACACAGATATGCCAGTACACCTAACAGTTTGCATAATTCTTTTGGCAAATCAAAATTAGTTGAGATAGCTCACGTCACGTTACACGTTATTGTTTCGACAAATAATTGACGGAAAATTTAAATCAAATAAAATGCCAACATGTCTAAATTGTAATAACTCGGAAATTAGGGACCACAGTATGATTTGTTATGGGCTAAGCAAACATTTTGCTGATGTAGGAAAAAATCTTGCTTCTAGAATCAACACAAACAATAATGAGGGCATTCACTTTAAACACATGCTTGGTCCTTGTAAAAATGAATCTTTTTTCTAACAGATGTTTCTGAATGTGAAATTGTTATTCTACTGACTAAGTTGGATGAAAAAAAATCAGCAGGCGCTGATAATATTCCATCAAACTAATAAAAATGGCCAGATATGTTATAGCACCTGCTACAGATTTGATCAATGATTTTTTTAGGGTAGGTATTTTTCCGGATATCCTGAAACTTGCCAAAGTTGTTCCATTGTACAAAAAGGGATGACCCAAATAATTATCGTTCTATATCTCTACTATCTCAATTTGCAAAAGTCATTGAAAAAGCCCTGTACAAAAGATTGATAAACTTTTTTGACACATATGATATTATCAGTACCTCCCAACTTGGTTTCCAAAATGCGCATTCTACAGAGCTTGCTGTATAGTCAAACTGAAAGAATTTTGAATAATTTATCGGATAATAAAGTATCCTGTGCCATTTTTTCAGATTTGGCAAAAGCATTCGATACTGTTAACCATAATATATTATTATGCAAATTGTCCCACTATGGCATACGCGGATTGCCTCTTCGGCCATATTTAATGAAGCGTCAACAATTCATTGAATCAAATGGTTATAAATCTTCCCTTCAATATGTATCTTGTGGAGTTCCACAAGGTAGCACTCTTGGCCTCCTCCTGTTTCTAGTTTACACCAATGACCTTCCCAAGGTCAGCTCGTTCGATACCACGCTATTCGCTGATGATACGGCTCTGCTCGACTCTGCTACAAATATTGCAGATCTCCAAAACACTATGAATATGAAAATAAAGCGAATAGTTCCTATTTCAAAGATTGTATTGTGTTAGCTAACTTGTTAAATAATCCTCCTTCTTATATTACGATATCTTCGGAACTGTTATGTGTAATCCATCAAATAATTGTTGTAAATAATTAAGGTAAAAATCTATACGCGGCCTTTTTTTCTCATGACTCCTGAATGACTTGTCCTAATAGGAATTTTTCTTTTTTTCAGGGGTCGGTCGACATAGTTGACCTTGTAGTCTTACCCGCCCCTCCCGTTTATATTCTATGATTGTTTTTTTTTTCACATTTATTGTAATTTTACATTTTTTTGATATATTCTGAAAATAAATCATTATCTCTACTGGTACCTAAGTTACCCTCGCAACATAAGTTACTGATAACGTTACATTTCTGTATTTATATAGTATCAAGTCCTAGTCCAGTAATAGTAAAAATGGATTGACCGATCGATGTTTTAATTATGACTATACGGTACCGGTACTATAATTTCGCTTTTGTTCATCAGCATCAACTTAATAATTAGAATTCTTACCTGTGCCAGCAAGCTCAAACCGCTCCGCACGATGTAAGTTTTCCCCATATTGTAGATTGAGACAAGCTCAACAGAAAATGTGCCCACCCACTTATTCTGTCTATTTAAAATTGGAGTTGAATACCTCACACAGTCTGTTATGCGCAGAGTTTCATCGAAGCCTCGGCAGAATGATAAGTCGAGTCAGCGCGCATAAAAATATCGAAACGATTTCAGCTAATAGCGCTCAGCCTTCTGACATCGTCATAACCACCTCGATATCAATGACATGACTCGTTCATGCTTTTCCACCAAGTTTAGTGGAGAAATGTTTGGTAACACACCCAGTTAGTGCATGCATTAACCTTTTCCCCCTCTTTGGGTGGTTAACGAAACACGATGTATATAAAATAATACAACGAAATAAGGTGGAAAAATTATCACTCCACCACAATGGATGAGGTGGAAATGACAAAAATCCTCTTTTTCTATTTACAGTGGCATATATGGGAGCAAAACCTAAGATGATCTATTTACCTTGGGCTGAAGTGACTAAAGAAATATCCAATATTTACACCGGAAGCCAACCAACAGTATGTGTGGCGTAACTCTAAATGCTCACTACTGTTACATCATATGAAGTTGGACTTTTGTCATTGTAAATAAATCTTAATATTTGCATGAGACGCTGGATGGGATTTTTTAAAAAAGTTTTAAATAATTATTTAATAAACCCTTTGACATTCTGGTATTGGTTTATGTACGTCTGTACTTGAAGAAAATATTACATGAAAACTCGCTGTATTGCGTGATTAATTCTGAGTGCCGGAATTATTTTTCTCACCTTTGAATCAAACTCTGATAGTTTAAATAAAAACGCTGCTTTTTCATTCTGGTCGAGTTCTTGTAGTTTTTCGGTAAATGATTTTGGAGCTGGAATCGGCAAAGTATCTGGATCAATTCCCTCTCCTTGATTTTCTCCAAACAATTCAAGAAGATAATCGACAGGATAATTACAAGTGGAAATACGTCCCTGAAATGAAAATGACAACTTCGTGTCCGTAGGTTTAACATATTATGGTATTATAGCTTATATAATATGTGAAGTATTTAAAATGATGTATTATTTAATAGCAGAAAAAAATGACTTTTCACATAAGTCTCCAAAGGACGTTAGCAGAAACTACAACCAAAGACATGAGTAGGAATGTTATCTTCGATTTTCACTCTGACATTATATAATAGTAACTGAGCGCTTCATGATTCAGTGCATTACACCTATAGTTGGCAAAAATTCAGACACGTACCAGGTAATCAGCAAAATCCTCAAACAAATTTTATGTTAGTATTGCTTACCAAATACAAATCGTATATGCTGGCGTCATTAAAACAGATATCTGCAACAAGTTTGAGATTAACACATTTACGAGGATCTGGAATATTCGATGCGTAAACCATTGAAATTTCGGTGTCGAAATCAGGTACATCCGGCCACCCGGGCATATAGGCCGCACTGAAAAGTTTAGGAGATAACATAAATTTTGACATAATAATAAATATATACTTTAAATTCTCAAATCATAGCTTTTCCTAATTTTTTCAACTAGATAAAATGAGAGCCTATATTCTTAAATTTCATTTGTGTTATGTCAATGTAGCTTGCGATTACTAAATATACCATGCCCGTAGAACTAAAAGCCTGTTGGATGTAAAAATACATTTGACCATTCTATAACGTATGTCAGCGAAGCGGTTTCATGGCATATTTCTTGCCATCAGCCGGTGCTCTATATGCAAATCTAAATTTATTAAGCAGGTCCGTGTAGTCGGAGTTTGTCATGATATCATCATTGTAGTTGGATCCGGAGTCGAAAATCGGAAAACTAATGATGACTTGCTTACGCCAAAGTTTTTCTTATCAAAACTCGATTTTCTGAGAGTTCGTAATTGGGGCCACCATTTTTCTCAACACGGAATCGTGAGTTAGAGTCGATTGAAATTATTTTTCACGGCTTCCCATGCCCGATGACAACAGCCGGCTAAAACGGCGTTTTTAAAGTGAACTTTATTACAATGAAAAGTGAAATTTGTTTAAAACTATTTATATATAATAATAATAAAGTAGTTTAACACAAAAAATTGCCTACTGAGTTCTGATGTTATTGGCGGCTATGTCTGGCGGGGAAAAGGGATGGTCAGGAAGAGGAGGCAGATTAATCGAAAATTCATGTAGTTGTATTTGCTCATCAAAAACAGGTTTAAAATCAGCAATCGTGATATCAGGATCCCACGATGGAGGATTGAATCCATTCCCTCTGGGAGAAAAAAAAGTAACAAATAATAAGTAATTTACACGCTTACATTGACTTGATTATGGGTGAGACACCAGTACCACGCCAGTGACCTTCCGTGTTAAATATCCAAATCAAATCGTGAAACTCGAAATGTCTTCATCGATTTATAGGTTGACTATTATGGTTTTAATTAAACACGTAATTATGACTGGCACTATCAATACCAAAGATGTGAATGTCAATTAAAGGGCTTTCGTTCCTTTTGAGTCACTCTAATTGACTTCTTATGAATTACCAATATCTTTAGCTCAATGGATTCATATTTTAGGACTTTCATAAACTGTTAGACGTATATCGCTGGTTTTTGACCAAAAACTATACGCGAATTATGCATGCTTGAATACATAATATGATGCTATCTGATTTCAGGTGCGCTTCAGCTGCCATCAACCATGTAGTAAATTAAACAATGTGAAATAATAAAAATGTCCAGTTAATAGGTTGGGATGGCATAAATTTTTATGAGATGGAATTGGATAGAAAAAGGTGTCCCATCATGGACTAGCTTGATGAGTGGACAAGCGAAACTAAAAACATTTTCAATATTTCACATTGTTCAATTTAGTACGCATGGTTGATGGCTGAAGCGCAAATGCCTGTATGTGTGTTAAAATATGAATAATACTATTTAACTTGCTAAGACGGGTGAAATTATCGACTCGCTATCCACAAATACTCATTACCCCCAACCCGAAGCCAACAAGTTTTACTTACTTGCATTTTGTCATTATGTTGGGGAGCACAGATTCTGACTTTGAAAAATTTACATCGTTTTGATATAAATAAGGAGAAGGAGCCAATCCGTCAGTGCATTTCACTTTGCATTTGGAGTTAATTTTATTCGCATCGGTGCATGACTCAACATTTACAACTGTAGCATCGAGCGATTTGCATCGAACGCCTAGAAAATTTTTAGATTTTATCACAATCACACATATATATATATTATGGAAGATATGCATAAAAAGAATAGAACGAATGAAAAAGATCTTACTTTTTTTTTCGGAATACTTTAGCGTGAATACTGATGATTTTTTAGAAAAAACTATTCTGTAAAATGAGAATTCATATCCAGGTAAAATAATCCGAATTGTTCCATTTTTTAAATCTTGCAGATATTCATTATATGAATGTTTAGTTGTGTATTGTATATCATTTGTTGCCCCGTACATAGCAATAAAGTTGTTCCAAGAGCTCGTCCTGTATTTTTTACCACCAATCTAAATTTGAAAATAACCATGTTATATTTTCCTCCGTATTTCTGTAAAACCTATAAGGAGTAAAAAGTCCAAACTGAACTATGAAATGTGACCCGTTTGTTTGAATAATGAACATACATTTAAGCTGCTCTGAGTTAGGTTGTGTTCTTAAATGCACAGTGTTGTTATAAGTTCAGTCTTTACAACTTAAGATAACAAAATCCAAATAGATACTCGCTACAAATTTATGTCGACGGTTTTATACTTCGGAAGAACCCCATATCGTACAATATTCATTTTATGCTATTCAGTATCTTTCCATGAAATTCGAAATTTAAAAATTATAAAAACATACGTTTCATTGTACCCGCTATTTGTTCAGTTTTACCCATATAGTATAAGTGGAGAATCAGTTTATTTCAAATTTAAAGTATCGGTCAAAAATCAAATTTGATTCCGATAAATTCGGAATGCGAAATTTATGTATTGCGCACTGTCCAATGACAAAAGTTGTGACCGTGCGAATCTTGTGAAAGAGGATAATTCAATTTTCGAGGCACAAATATACGTTTTTCAATTTTTTTTTTCTTCGTGTCGAAGCTATTTTCGTGGATTACTTTATAGAATAGACAATCAGTTTCTTTATTGGTAACATTGAATGCCCTGATACTGAAATCCAGCACCAAAAATCTTAGTACATTTTATTTCAATTCACCAATATTAAACATTTAATATAAATAGTGTTTTTACGCACGTAAATCAAACTCTTTTGCCTTGGAGTTATTTCAATCGTTAAATCTTTCGCGTGCGGTATTCTCCCATAGAGAAGACATGCACCATCCATGTTTCGGTTCTCTGTAAAGAGTTTCAGATTTCTTCCATTTGTTTTGAATCCAGGGTATGATATAACTCCTTTTTGGCCGGGCAAATTATGCAAGCATGGTGATATTTTTCCAGGTGCTGTAAGAATTTGTATAATAGTTACATAACAATTAGGCATATTTTATTCTACCCGAAAGATGATGCACATAAAAATACTCGAAAATTTTGTGAAATAAAATATTCATGAAGTTGAGTTTATTCTGCAACAAAATGGGCGTTGACGTTCCCAGTATGTATTCCAGTAGGGAAGTTAAATTTAGTAGATTTGTGTTCATACTTTTTGTACGTAATGTATTAGAAGTTTATTGATGAACATAAATAAATGCTACTTGTAAGAATATTATTATTGGGGAACTCATTCTCATATTGCAGCAATCAACTCGATATATATAATTAATAAACTAATTCCTTTGTTATATATATATCATCCACATATACCTTTCTTAGAATCGGAAGTATTCAGCAAGAGAAACAATACCCCAAATGCACATATTCCGCGCATTCTCTCCACAGTATAAATTTGCTATTGCAGTTTGAATGTAAACCAGAAGAACAACATCGAACACAGCATCAGAATACGCCTATATATAGGCAGTGATACATTTTAACATAATAATATCGCCCCGGGGTCTTGATTTCTTCAAATTCTACATGTCTTGTGAATAGCGGCCGTGGTTGAATAGTGTTTTTGTCTAATAAACATGCCTGACAGTCATACATGTGCCACCTATTTCGTAGTGCAATGCGTTTATGAAGTTATGCTACAACACGCCCTAAATTTATGACTTTGAATACTAGTATTTGTGTAAAATATATTTTAGATAAAGTTGAAGACCATAGATTATATCTGAATAAATGAATAAGTTGCATTATATTTATATTTTGGACAAAGACTTCAAATTCAATATTTTCAAGCATAACAAGCGCAGCGCAAACTCGACCATGTGACGTGTCTAAAGAAAAAAGCTAGTGTGTGTACTTTGTTAGCGCAAGGTGTGTCTGAACCAAAAAACGCCATTGCCACAGTTAGCAATGCAAAAAATAACAACACTTACTGAATTGCCCAAGAGCAATCAAATTATGTATAGACGTTAAACTTAAAGCATAAATGCCATTGGGGTTTAGATAAGGTATATTAATATTAAACATTGATGCCTATGACATATGAGTGACTGATATTTCGAGCTATACTGCCAGCTCAAGGACTGCGAAATGCCTATAGTTTTGTTTTTATATTAACTTAAACTATTGGTATAAGTTTATTTCGGCATGACAGATTTTCAACCGCTAAAAATATGAAATCAGTAGTTCTGTGACAGTGACTGATCGCTAACTTTAAGAAATATCGTTCATAACTACCGTTCATGATGGTTAGTTTTAAAATACTGTACGGAGTTTATTTCGAAATGAGAAGCAATTGATAAATTACCGGAGTAACTCACCATATTCATCTTTTAGATTACTTTTCAGCGACCAAAATCGGGTCGGTGTGATGTAAGATTGAAGGTGTAGGACAGTGTTGGTATTTTTCAACGCAAAATGGACAGCCTGAAATAAGCTATTCTAAGTTACGTCCGTCTTGTCATGAACCATACGATATTATTTCGTACATCAAAACTACCCTTTTGGTCGTTATGATTGTTGAATTTATCTCTCGGCAAGGTAACAATTGAATTGTCCTGTCGGATCTCGCCATGTCCTTCTCTAATATTATACTTTTCATAAATAAATACCAATATTTTTCTGGTTGTGAAAATTAGGTAGGCAGGATATGCTTTGGTGACTTATCCTTTGCGCAAGTCTGCGCATAGTCATCTTTATTAACTTACAAAAAAGGCCTCGCTCTTCCGTATCTCATCATATTCTTCTCTTATATTACTTTCTATACCTACTGAATTTATGTACCGGAAATCTTTTTGTCTGTAAAAATTAGGTATGTAGGGTCTAATTTGGTGACTTATTGGTAAATCCTGCACATCTTTGTAAATTCAAAAATGTACCTCTTCCTTCAGTTGCATTTAGGTATAGACGGTGCGTCTAATTTTTTTTGTTCTATTAAATCTAACGGGCTGGTATAATTGACGTTGAAAATGTTTCTTTGTGATGCCACTAGAACTAGATACATAAACCTCTAATCTGGTTTGAAGAGTCATCGGTAAATTCTGTACATAGGAGGGATGAGACGAGTCCGATATTACAGGGATTCGAATAATCCGAGTAATGGGTCATGGACTCGAATCGAATCCTTCGAGTCCGTGACGTCTTAATGAAGCTGAAAAACACGTTTCCCACTGTGCTACAATAGTGTGCGCAATACCCAAGCAAATGCTGGACAATGGTTGTCCTGATTTTAAACTGCTTTCGCCAGTTCCGCTCTGATCGATGTTTGCTAGCTTTTAGCAATAGATTCCAAAAAGATTGCGCCAACACATTCTTGTTCATACAAGACATACATACACCAATAAGGATAGATTATACGATTAATTAGGGTTTTTCGTGAGTAATCTAGTTCGGGCGGTGCGCGGATTTGACTCAAATGCGTGGATTCGAATCCGAATCTCGGCCCATCCCTAGACATAGTAATAATTTGAACATAGAAAAGCAACGACTGACGTTCGATCAGTCGGACAATGTTCTGGTTATTTTGAGCCTTGCTGTAAAGACGCATGATTACGTAATCCGCTTCGCAAACAAAGATTTTTCATAATTGCTAGTTGTATGTATAAGTTATCATTTCTGATCCGACTTTAAGGCACGATGGACGTCGGCACTATTCGGTGGGGTATTTGTTCTGTAGGAAAAATATGTCAAGACTTCACGGGCAACTTGTTATCCTTACCCAAAAATGAACATATAGTTGAAGCTGTTGCATCGTCTTCTTTGGAAAGAGCGCAGGCTTTTGCCAAAGAAAGAGGCATTTCGAAGTCATATGGCTCATATCAAGAATTGGCTGACGATCCGAACATTGACGTCGTTTACATAGGCTCGATTAATGTTCAACACTATGACCAAGTGAAAATGATGCTGGGAGGTGGAAAATCTGTTTTATGTGAAAAGCCGCTGTGCATGAGTCCGGAGGAAGTCAAAACGTTGTTTTCATTAGCAAAGGAAAAGAACCTATTCCTTATGGAAGCGGTCTGGAGTCGATGTTCGCCTGCTTATGCCGCAGTGCAAAAAGCCATTGATGATGGCGAAATAGGAGAAGCAAGAGTAGTCCAAGCCATGTTTGGTGAAATGATTGCAGTCGACCCGCATCACCGAGCCAGTCGCAAAGAACTTGGAGGTGGCGCATTGTTCGATATAGGAATGTACACGGTGCAGCTCGCCCAGTTCGTATTCAAAGAACGTCCATATGAGCAGCATGCCGTTGGCTTCCTGAACGATGAGGGTGTCGATATAACTTCGAATTTGGCTTTGAAATACACTAAACAACGGATGGCTTCTTTAACAACATCTTCAGTTAGCACTTTTCCAAACGACGCTCATATATGTGGCACCAAGGGATACATACGAATTCACCCACCATTTTGGTCGCCCCCCGCTATCACCGTGAACGGAGAGATACGCAATTTTCCATTTCCAAAAGTAGTATATAAGATGAATTTTGCAAACAGCGAAGGTCTCACATATGAAGCAAATGAGGTTAGAAGATGCCTTTTGAACAAGAAAATTGAAAGCCCATTGATTACTCACGCAATGAGTATTGAATTGGCAGAAATAATCGGAAAATTGCGGCAAGACTTGGGATACAAATTACCTCAAGATGATGAATGAATTGAAAAATATGAGAAAAAGTTGTTTCCCAAATAATTGGTTGCACTTTTTCATTTTGCAAAGTTGGTCTATGTAATTTTCTGTTCTGCAACAGATACGATAAACGTTAAAATTCACATTTATAACATTTATGCAATTATATATGAAATAAAGTTATAATGAAAATATTTCAAGTTGTTTTATTACGTTTCCATGCATTTTACTTTTCGGTGAATGGCTCATGATGGTTTGTGGCACATTCAGAAGTTGCTAGAATAGGTTTGTATTGGGAAAATCAATATATATATATATATGAAATTACATATAAAAAGAGTAACCGTGTAGCTGTATCCTAAGCATATACAAGGCAGACACGAAATATGAGAAAAACAAACGGGACGCAACAAATACGCGAGCGAGGAAGCGAAACGTACACGCAACGTGCACGTGAAGCGAGTGGGGTGACCAATGACTCAGCACCGCATAGTACCAATGACTCAGCACCGCATAGTACTACCGCATGTGGTATTTATTCATTATCTTTATTGATATTGTTGTAATTATCATCCGGTGACACAGAAATTAGGGGAGCATGATATTAGGATGGATGCTCAATTTGATTGTGAAAATTCAGAATATGTGAATAATTGATATTTCATTATTGAGTGCTGTTTGCTGACATCTCATGTGTTAGACTGGAATATTCCCTACAATACGTCATATAGTACAATAGTCAGCAGCATGTATGCTATAGTATAAAGTTAGTATCTCAAACGAGTTTCAGACGCCATATATACACAGCAAATATTGACAAAGTCATGGTGAGGTCAAATTTGTCATAGTATAATCTGTCGCAATATTCCAACCTATCGACGTTACTTCAAAAACTTTAAAAATGTCATAACTGCCCATCTTCATAGAAAGTGTTTTCACAATATGACTCCATATGTTCAAATATAACGGATTCTCATCAACATTTTGCAAATGGAAACTTAAATCATAGACGTTTGTGACTGAGTGATAACGATACAAGAGCAATTTTCAATGCAGTTCTTGTTCAATACGATTCAGCCTGATAACCCTGAGACATAACACATAACCATTATACTGCGAGAACTATAAGAATATATATCTAATGCGGCTATGCCTGTATTATCCCCGACTGTGACAGTTGTCTCGTTGGACATCCCATCTTTATTTTTATCGAATTTACTTTGTTATTGGTGATATCATGTTCTTATACATAAATTTCATTAAAACATCTGTTAGTATTATTTATATCAAAAAGACTTCACCACACACATTATATGGTAAAAGATTGTGAAAAAGCCGAATTGTAACAAATGTGACAACTGACCATGAAAGCAAACTGCTTTTCAAAAAACCGTTATTACAATAATGAATAATCCATATTACACTAAGTAAATTTGATGGTCGAATCTGTGCAATTGTGTGAACCGACTGCTATTCTGACGTAAATTCAAAAATTCGACTAGGTTATTATGTAAATATTGTAAAATTTGGAGGTGAATAAACATTCATACAATACATGTCAATAGCAACAAGCGCGAACCTGTTATACCCACAGTATGATCTTAATGATTTGGTCATTTTGAACCCTGTTGTAATAGGCGATAGCGCAGTTGGCGATTCGTTCGTTCGAAAGGTTAGTCATAAACGTAACGTAAATCGTTCGTTTCTAGTACTGCTGAGTGCTGACTCGCTATTGAATCGTAATGGTAGGTGGTGCAATTCGATGGGGTATTTGTTCAGCAGGGAAAATTTGTCAGGATTTCGCATGGAACTTACTAGCCTTGCCTAAAGATGAACATATAATAGAAGCTGTCGCATCATCGTCTTTGGAAAGATCGAAGGCTTTCGCGGCAGAAAGAGGCATTTCGAAAGCATATGGCACATATCAAGAATTGGCTGATGATCCGAATATCGACATTGTTTACATCGGATCACTCAATACACAACACAAAGATCAAGCGAGGATGATGCTGGAAGGCGGGAAAGCCGTCCTGTGCGAAAAGCCACTTTGCATGACCCCGAAGGAAGCAAAAACCTTGTTCGCATTAGCTAAAGAAAAAAACTTGTTTTTGATGGAAGCGGTTTGGAGTCGATGTTCCCCTGTGTATGCCGCGATCCAGAAAACCATCGATGACGGCGAAATCGGAGAAGTGCGAGTAGTTCAAGCGATGTTCGGCGACTACATATCTGATCCGAATCACCGAGTTATGATTAAAGAACTCGGGGGAGGCGCATTATTCGATATTGGGATTTACACGTTGCAGCTCGCTCAATTCGTATTCAAAGAATGTCCCTATGAGCAGCATGCCGTTGGCTTCCTGAACGATCAGGGTGTCGATATAACTTCAAATGTGGCCTTGAAATACACTAAACAACGGATGGCTTCTTTAACAATATCTACCGTGAATGTATTTTCAAACGACGCTCATATATGTGGCACCAAGGGATACATACGAATTCATCCGCCATTTTGGACTCCATCCGCAATTACTGTAAATGGGCAGGTACGCAATTTTCCCTTTCCCAAAGTCGACTTCAAGATGAATTTTCGCAACAGCGAGGGACTAACATATGAAGCGAAAGAAGTAAGAAGATGCCTTATAAATAAAGAGTTGGAAAGTCCTCTGATTACTCACGCAATGAGTATTGAATTGGCAGAAATAACAGAAAAATTACGGAACGATTTAGGATATAAATTACCTCACGATAGTGATAAAGAATAAAACTATGAACGGGTACACCAAGTCTTCCCAACTTTTTAGCATCGTCTAGTCCAGTGGTTCCCAAACTTTTTGTACCATCGCCCCCCTGCAGTAATTTATACTTCATCGCCCCCCCGGCACTGATGCAAAAAAAAATTGAAAGTCTGAAACGAATATATTACAGATCAAATAAGGAGACAAATCATAGTTCATAGTGTTTTTTAATCAGATGGATGAGCTTTAGTTCTTTAGCGAGTTTTGTCATTATCTAAAATTACCCCGTTTACTGATGGAAAGGCGATTTAGTTGTTTTGATAGCTATAGCAGCACGGCTAAAACCCCTCTTTCACCATATCAGAGGTCGGAAATGAAAGAATCTAGGGTTCTACCTCCTCAAGAACCGCCGTGTATACTTGCATTCAACTCCCTAGGCCTAAATTCACCCCATTTAACAATGAAATAATGAAAACAAAATTTAATTTTCCAAAACTTATAATAATGATTTTTGTACATCTCATCCATCCCTACAGCCTGATGACCTTCACCAAAATACATGATCTATAACGGTCTTCGGTAAAATTCGTCCTCGATTCCTCATCCTACCACGTCCTCCAGTCCGATCACCAGTCTATAGATTCAATCAGCCATTTGTTTTGGATTTGTGGACTCGGATGGCCCAGGGGTCGGCAAATTTTACGTCGCTCGCGGAACAAAATTTAGAGTTGCTACTTGCTATTCTTTTGCGGATCGCATATATTTTTTGAAAGTTAAAAACGGAACATCGTGCGAAAACTGCGACAATTCGTGAACTCAACTCTGTCGTCTTATTGAAAAATTGTTACAATGACATTCAATGTGACACTGTCTTGTTGCTGCATAACGCTTGATAGCATCACGACGCCAAGATTAGAACATTTTCTAAATGGAGATCGCTAATCCTAGTTCTTTGTAATGTTCATTTTCGAAAATAATTGTTTGCACAAATATGTACTCCCAAACATCGAAGTGAATATTTTTGCATGGTTTGTGAAACTTTGATAAAGATTTTGTTTGAGAAGATACATTCTTACAAAAATTAAGCAGTGATGAATCTCTCGAATAGAATATGATTTTTTTTCCTTATTGCATTGCAATATATTCGAATATTTTCTGCGCTATTGAACCCCTGCACTCAGCATCAACTTTTCTGCGTGTTTCCATTTGTCTAATTATAACTCTATTGTAGGCTCGTTAAACGAGTAGCTGTTCAATATAATTGTTAGGATATAATAAAATTTAGTCTAAACGTGTCTCACGATAAATTCTGTTACGTGAAAAAATGTAATTTATTTCTCGAGCGTAGATAATAAATATAATTAATTCATCGTTAAAACCGCCGTTTGAATGTTTCCCCTGGCATAGACTTCCTTCTTTACTTCGTGACATTGGCCAATCAGCAAGATGCGAAAATAAACGTCACAATGCCCCCTTTTGCATCCACTCAGATACATTCCTCACTCAGTCGGACTTTCAGGCGTGGTCGAGAACATTACCTCATTTTCGCGATTCTGAATTATATTCGTTAGTTTTCAGTTGTTTTTCGGAAATTTAAATAAAATAAGTCACCTTGTCCTACTAGTAGTTTCAGTTTAATTACAGTAATCAAAAATTAGTGTAGAAATAGACTAGGGGCTAGGCTAAAATTCTTTACCGAAACTTTCAAAAAGCAGATTGTTGAATGGTATGAATTAGAATGATAGTTTGAAACAAATACTTCATTTTATAGGCAAAAACTCGCGAAACCACTCTTAAAATAAGCATCGAAAATTTTAGAATGGGAAAGATTTTCCGGGGTCAAAGGTCAGGGAATGGTCCATTCAGTGAAGCGTCCCGGGCCAGATTACTACAGATTTCCCGACCACTAGGATACGCAAACTACCGTACCTTACTGCGTAGACGAGTCCATCAATCCTTTCGCGTGTGACATCGCCCACGTGATTCAAACCTACGAAAACACGCAGAGTAAAGTAATCGAGTGCACGATGTTCCGAGCAAAAACAGGTTTCGTGAAATCGCCCCCTTCAAGTTTTTCGCCCCCCCCCCTTTTTGTATCGTTTTCGCCCACCAAGGAGGGGGGGGGGGGCGATATCGCCCACTTTGGGAATCACTGGAGACTCTAGTCTACTCTGGGAGAAATCTATAGCGATGCCTGGAAGTTTTTCAGCAAAATCAGATACCAATCTAGTTGTTAGTTACATAATTAGCAAGTATATTTATATAAAATCGATCAAATCCCTGACTACTCGTTGATGAGTAACGCGAATATAGAACCGAATATTAAAATGGCATTTATCTTCCCGAATATCTGTTAACACGTGACCTGCGTCACTTCACTGGACAAGGCATTCATTCGTACGTCGCCGAATCTGCCTACGCACATCACTCGCCGAATTCGGATAAACAGGCTAGCAGTGGTTCTTAAACTGGGTTCGATCGAACCCCTGGGGTTCGGTGGAGCTGTTCCAGGGGTTCGACGAAGGTGCTCTGAAACAGTTGCACATTATGAGACTTTTTTTATCACCCTGCATACTAAATGTGCAAAAATAACTATAGTTCATGATGACTAATTACTAATGACTTGAACAATTGAATGGAACAATTAATTGGTGTTACCCTTATTCATATTCTACCGTACTAATAAAATTTAACTCAATTTTACGGATAAATCGAAGATAGGCAGTAATTGTACATGAATGAATGCAAAATCATAGCGTGTTTAATTTTCACTAGGTGATAAATTTGCGACAAGGAATAGTTTATCGCAGAGCTTTACCCGAAATTATTATGATCCATTCAGGACAACCTCGATATGGCGCCGAATTAATCCTATCTCTATTTCTGTAAAATAAAACAATTGGCAAACGATTTTATTCGCATTTCGGCGCAGTTTAAAGTTTGAGAACAAATTGCTTGAACTACCAACGTTTATGGGGTATATTATCATCTTTCGGATTTTCAAAGTTATTTTTTATCAGTTTTCGCCTGTTCACCCGCATAACTTATACAACAAAAACCATCTGCTCATTCTGCCGCCAACGTCATTGTGACAAAACAATGGTTATTCCCACATGGTTATTGATATCTAAGGTTTCATCACAATGTTCATATTCTATAACCTTGCAAGAATTAGCTTCCGCTTTATGACGTTACGGTTTGGCTTCTAATTTCAACCGTTCAGTACAATGGGGTTCAGCGGGAGCTTGCAGAATAGTGCAGGGGTTCGGCAGGCTCACAAAGATTAAGAACCACTGGGCTAGAATATACGAATGATAGGATGTGGATCAGTTTATTCCGGTTTTCCGCAAAAGTATAAATACGAAAAACTTTTTTCACCGCGGACAAAAGTACAGATGATAGTGTGTATAGGAAAGAACATTGGAAATTAGGTCAACAATTTTAATGAGCAATGGAGGGAAGAGTATTCAACCAAAGTGTTATTAATGACGCTTCTTTCTTTGCAATGCACCAGTTCCTCCCACCGTGATGTGGCATTATAAGCTTGAGCAAAAGCTGCACAATATCGGATCGGCACAGTAAACCAAATCCTTTTCTTCCGAGAAAAAATGGATGTATTCTTTATGTCTGTTGCAGAAGAAGCTGATGTAAGTACTGTCAGAAAGGAGATTTTTTTTCTTCAATCTGGAAGCCAACAGTTTGGCAGAGTCCTTTGGCAAGCTGAGGTCGCGAACTAGATCATTCAACTCTTTTTGGGAAAATTGATGTGCAAAGAACTGAATCAAATTTTTGGGCCTTTTTACCCCATTATGCATTAGCCCGCAGAGTGAAATGAATGTGCAGAATTCTAGGGCTCAGAATATGCAAAAGAAAAAAAAGTGTCCCAACCTTCTGGATTAAATCTCACTAATTCGAGAGAAGTATATTTAATATGATTTGAAGTTCTAAACCGGTTCCAGGTTGGAAAACAACTAGAGGCAAGTGGCACACAAACCTAAAAAGTTCCAATCCCGTAAGCCAGCGGTTCCTAAAAGGTGCGGCGCACTAGTGCGCCGTGACGAGTTGCTAGGTGCGCCGCGAAAATCAACAGAATTGTGATAAACATAACTGAAATATGATTGAATATTGTACAAATTGTATCCATTTTAAATGTTTGTTTCTTCTTCCACATGCTGTGTATATAAATCAATGAATTCATTTCATCTGTCTATGTCGTTTACGTAACAATATAGGTAACCACTATTTGCTGGAATTTCGTGATCTGCAGTCTATTTATCTGCTGGATCGAATTTAGCGAACATAAGTGATCACAAAATTGAGTTTTCTTTGAAAGCAGCATTTTTTTCGTGTAAGTGTGCCGTGAGTTTTTTTCTCTGGTAAAATGGCGCCGCGCCAACAAAATTTTGAGAATCGTTGCCGTAAGCGATGAAAGGCTATGGTTTTGGGGTACTCACCAAACGATATATAACTAGATAGACGCGTATAGATATTTGTATCGAGAATGAAAAATCTTACATAAGCACCAAACAAGGAACTTGGCGTGGATTGGAAAAATTTAAATTATAAAATTGCATGGTGTTATACAACGCTAGAGTTATAACAATGTCACTCAAAATACCTGGAACGGACTATTATATGAAGTAGCATGGCACCCTAAAACTATACAGCTGATCGCGAAAAAGGGTATATATGACAACTGGCTCTGATAAAGGTGGGATGCCAATACCTTGAATCTATAGCAAAATCCAGGCTTGTAATTTTGAAAAATCAAAATTTTTTAAAAATCTAGAAGAACCAAATGAAATTTGGCATGTAGTGGAACTGTACAATCTAGGAAGAAAAGTTAAGAAAATAAACCGGAGTATTCACGCAAACCAAATGTCACATTCGATCCAACCACCAAAACACTGGATGAAAATATTCGAAGACGTACGTAAATGCCATATCAAAGAAAATGAATGGGAATCAATAACTTATAAACGAGAACATTGGTCAGAGACCGAAGACTTATCGATCGAAAGTTAGGGGATCCCAAAACAGCGCTCTTACTCCATAGTGACACCTTGTGTCCCATCACTAATTAATTAATAACTCGCTAATTATACGACATAATTCGCCCAAAATCAATAGGCTTCTGATATGATGAATG